GGGCTCTGGTGATCCTTCCGCCTCAGCCTTCCAAGTAGCTGGAACTATAGGCATGCGCTATCACGCCCGGCTAATTTTTTTATTTATTGTAGAAATGAGGTCTCGCTTGCCCAGGCAGGTCTCGAACCTGCGGGCTCAGGCAATCCACTCACCTTGGCCTCCCAAAGGCGCGGGATTACAGGCTGAGCCACTGAGCCCGGCTGAACCATTGTCTTTAAGACCAGTCACCGACTCCTGGTGAAAAGGGTGGGGTGTGGACAATTCTAGAGCATTCTTCTTGTTCTTCTTCCCTTCACTATTTTGATATGAAGCCTCTAGAACCTCCATAACTTGTTCATGGATTGATGGAGAGTAGACTTACCAAGAGAGCAGGAGAAGGTTGGATTTGACCCTCCGGTTCATCTCGGGATGATGCCCATCCACTCGTAATGCCTGGCTGGAGGGTGCTGCTGGGAATCTCAGTTCTGTGGGATGGCAGCTGTGGTTGATTAGTGATGTCTGCCATGGAGGAGGGAGAGGACAATGGTGTTAGTCGTCTCAGACATTCTCATCCTAGTTCCATAACGGAAGGCTAGGAGAGTCTGTTTTTCTTGTGTGTCTCTTTTCTTTCAAACATGTCTAGCTTGAGGGCAGAGGCTGCATTTTTCATTTTTCTGCCCTCTTGTAGTGCCTAGGACAGGGCGGGACACGTAGGACGCATCTGCCTTATGTCCAGCAGTCCACTGTAAGTGGGTTTGATCTGCAGGTCTCACCCCGCCTCCGGGCCGCCTGCCATTCTGGGGGTCCTCCAGGAGGAGGAGTCCCAGCTCCCTTCCTGTCCTTCTACAGATGGTGTCTATGAGATAGGCGGCCTCGTTCCCGTCTGGGCCGTGGTGGTGATCGCAGGCACAGCCTTGGCTTCGGTGACCTTTTTTGCCACATCCAACAGTGAGCCCCCCAGGCTTCACTGGGTAAGAATCCCGGGCTTTCGAGCTGGGGGAGGGGATGCTGAGGTCTCTTGGGCCGATGTCCTGTCCATACCTCTGGGGCGCTTTGACCTGTTATCATGCTCAGGATGACCAGTTAACTGAACTTTTCTTGGTTATTTATTTTTTGAGTCAGGGTCTCACTCTGTGGCCCAGGCTAGAGTGCAGTGGCACAGTCATGGTTCACCATAGCCTCAACCTCCCAAGAAGGACTCAGGTGATCCTTCTGCCTCAGCCGCCCAAGTAGCTGAGACTACAGTCACATGCCACCAGACCCAGCTGATTTTTTAAAAAAAATTTTTATGGAGATGGGGGTCTCACTATGTTGCCCAGGCTGGTCTGGAACTCTTGGGCTCAAGCAATCCTCCAGTCTCGACCTCCCAAAGTGCTGGGATTACCAGCACATGCTATCACGCCCAGCTTTAACAACTTTAAAACCACTTTTGAAGGTGTTTGTACCTGTTCAGGGTTCTTTCTTCTTCTTTTGTGACAGTTTTGTTGTATTCTGATGTAATTCACATACCATACAAATCGCCCCTTTAAAGTGTACAATTTAGTGGTTTTTGTTTTATTCACAAAGCTGTGCAACCATCACCACAATCAACTTTAGAGCCTTTCCTCACTCCAAAAAGAAACCTCACACCCATTGGCGGCCACACCCCATGTCCCTCCCCAGCCTGGGCTCCCCTTTTCGTTCTCTCTGCGTGGAATTGCCTGCCAGGACAGCTCGTCTCCACGAAGTCATGTAGCATGTGGTCATCCATGATGGCTCTTTCACTTTGCGCCATGGTCTCAAGGCTCACCCACACCGGAGAGTGTGCCAGTGGTTCTTTCCTCTTTATGGTCAAATACTACTCCATTATATGGGTAGACCACATTGTGTTTATCCAGCCATCTGTTGATGGACTTCTAGCCAGTTTCCACTTTTTGGCTGTTGTAAGGAGAGCTGCTGTGCCCGTTTGTATAAACATTTCTGTGTGGGAATATGCTTTCATTTCTCTGGGGCATAGTCCTAGGAGCAGAATTGCTGGCAAACAGGAACTGTATGTTTAATTTTCTGAGGGCCTGCTGGCCTGTCTTCTGCCTCGCTGATGAGAAAGCACCCGGGTCTCCAGCGGTGACATTCCTGAGGTGGAATGGCTTGGTCTTTGTGGGTGTCTTCCTCCTTTCACTCTAATCTATAGCACCCTAAGGAATTTTGGGGAAGTTTATCCAGACTTTTGCTTCTAAAGTTTACTTAAAATTTTCACTTTTAAATACTGATGAAAAATTAGTTGTTATTTTTCGGAGCTTTGAATTAATCTACCAACTCAAGGGGGGTTGAATTTTCAGCAAATTTGACATTTAGGGAAGCAGTCTTTCACCATTTAGGGAAAATGGTCTTTTACTCTTTCTCGAAGTACCAATATATGCTAAAGTATAGAAGAACCTTGAAAGCACCATGCTGAGTGAAAGAAGCCAGACACAAAAGGCCACATGCTGTATGATTCCATTTACAGGAAATGTCTGCAACAGGCGAATCCATAGAGCCAGTAGATTGGTGGGTCCCAGGGGCTAGGGAAAAGGGGGAAATGGCACCCCAAGTGACGCTGTTGAGTACAGGGTTATTTTGGGATGATGGGCGGTGTTTGGTTCTTAGAGTGGAAATCTGATGAAAGCCATGATGAGCCCTTTCCTGATGAGGCATGAATAGTGAACCAACGCTTTATTGAGCACTCACTGTACACGGAGGTGACTTGTGCATGGTCACTTGTCTTACGCGATGACACACGCCTCGGGAGGTGGATGCCATCATCGTCCCACTCTGCAGGCGAGGCACTGAGGCTGTGTACCCCTCGGGCTGGCCCGGGTCTTGTCTGCTCGCCATTCCCTCCGCAGCTCCTCGCTTTCCTGGGCTTCCTGACCAGCGCCCTGTGGATCAACGCGGCGGCCACTGAGGTGGTGAACATCCTGCGGTCCCTGGGCGTGGTCTTCCGGCTGAGCAACACCGTGCTGGGGCTCACCCTGCTGGCCTGGGGGAACAGCATCGGAGGTGACTTCGGGCGGGAGGTGGCCACGTCACAGCTTTCCCCACACCACCAGGGTTGCATCTGGGCGGGGGCATCTGGGGTGTCTGCCCTCAGCCTGTGCCCACCGTCATTTGGAGCCGCCATCACCGGGCATGGGGTGAGGTGGTCTGGACTGCCGCTGAGCCAGGAAACTCCAGAGGCCTCTGCCTCTTATCTCACGCTGTGATGCAGGGTCACTCGGTGACTCCCCAGAGTTCAGGCAGGACATGGAGCAGGCCATTGCAGCCAACCAGCTTGATGTATACACGGGCGTGTGACATGGGCAGGCATTCACAGGTACACACATACGTACATACACCCATCCCTAGCTACAGCAGCCAGGCGGGGTTGGCCAGGTTATGCACTGCACAAGAGCATCCAGACGAGAGGATAGGGGCTAAAACTAGCCCTCCTTCACTTGCCTGTGTGGGCACCTTTCTTCACTTCACACGGAGGTGACGGGTGTGCGAGCAGCAGACAGGGCTTGGGTGGAAAATAGGTCGCAGCATTTTCACACCCACATAGTTGTTCGTGGGGTCAAAGGAATTAGGCAGGGTGGTGTCTTATGGGCGCGGAGACCCCTGCAGCAGCCAGCCAGCTGGCGCCAGGCCCAGGGGCGCTGGTCTGTGTTTGCTCTGGAGTGACCGTGGGTGAAGTGAGGGTGGGAGGGGCAAGGGGTGCCAGGACTCAAGCCTCCTGTTTCCACGCAGACGCCTTCTCGGACTTCACGCTGGCCCGCCAGGGCTACCCGCGGATGGCCTTCTCCGCCTGTTTCGGGGGCATCATCTTCAGTATCCTTTGGGGCTGCCCAGGCCTCAGCACGGGTATGGCTGGCTCTGAGAGCCGAGAGGATGGGCTCTCGGGGGGACGCCCCAGGCGGGCGACGGGGCTGCCTGAGCTTTGGGCACCTCGTCCATGAAATGGGCTGATGGAGAGGGCTCACTTCATGGGGTGGCGTGAGGCTCCGGGGACGTGAGGCAGGCCACAGCACCTGGCAGGTCCTTGGCAGCGGGTTCCTAGGGCTAGGGCAGGTGTGTGATGGGCAGACGCCCACACGGAGAATGCAAGTGCCCCAGGGAAGACCCGCTCTCTCCCGCTTATGGGGACGTGTCCTGTCTATGTCAGGGGTGGGCATACTTTTTCTTAAAGGGCCAGAGAGTACATATTTTAGACCTTGTGAGCCATGGGATCTTTGGCAACTACTACCCCTGCCATGAGAGCGCAAAAACAGACGTAGTCAACATATAAGCCAGTGACGCGACTCTGTTCCAATAAAGCTTCATTTACTTATTTATATTCTTTTACAGACAGGGTCTCGCTCTGCCTCCCAGGCTGGACCACTGCAGCCTCCAACCTCTGGGTTCAAGCAGTCCTCCTGCCTCAGCCTCCCAAGTAGCTGGGACTACAGACGTGTGCCACCATGCCTGGCTACTATTTTAATTCTTTGCAGAAACAAGGTCTTGCTATGTTGTGCAGGCTGGTCTCGCACTCTGGGCCTTTAGCCATCTTCCCACCTTGGCCTCCCAAAGTGCCAGGATTACAAGTGTGAGCTGCTGCACCAGGCCTAAAACCTTAATTACAAAAACAGGCAGCACTTGGCTGGAGGGCTGCTGTGTGCCAACCCCTGGTTAATATAGAAAAAGTGGGTATAACTGCCAGGCCTTTGAAACCAGTAGATCGTGGGCTCCGGCTCCAGCACCACCAGGTGCCGGCCGTGTGGCCTGCACGCTTGTGCACAGCCTCACCATCCCTGAATCTCAGTTATCTCCCTTGTGGACAAGCAGTAGGCTGGGAGAAGAGGGAAGACAGTGCCTGGCACCTGGCAGACATGGGAAGGGCAGTGGACATTATCACCCAGCACCTGGTGTGCATGACGGACCTCGGGAGCTGCTGTGGAGGCAGCAACAGCAAAGCACAGTGTGATTGGTGCATCCATGACGGCTGCCCTGGGTAACTCCCAGGCTGAGCAGAGCCCTTGTGGCCCTTTGCGGCCGCTGAGGCATGCACCTGGTTTCGGCCATGGCCTCCTGCCTCTCAGGCTGGGTGGCAAGCAGGGAGCCCCTAGAGATGGCCTTGGCCCCTGTGCCAACACCAGTTCCCTCTGGGGGTAGTAGGCCCTGACCTCAGTTTCTCCGTTTACTGAGTGTTATGGGCACCACGCATTTCTGCCACCTCACTCCATCGTTACAGACAAATGCAGAACACTCAACACCTACCTTCACAGATAGTAAGACTGATGGGGTATCCTCAGACAGGGTTTGTGGAGGAAGACAGAGTTGGTCCAGGTTGTTTTTGTGTTGTTTTTTTTTTGAGAAAGCAGGATTTATTGAGAGGACAGAAAAGCTCCCACAGTGGGAGGGGAACCAAGGGGGTTACCCAGTTGGTCTAGATGGTAAGGAAAACCAAGGTCGTTCTTGCCGCGGCATCCCGACCCTGGGACTGACTGTTGGAGGGCTGGGCCACGTGGCTGGGTTGCGGGCACTTCCTGAGCGAACTGCAGACATCCTGGTGGGCGTGGGGCTAGGCTGCCTGCTGCAGATCTCCCGGAGCCACGTGGACGTGAAGGTGAGTGGCCACACACGTGGGTGGGGCCTCATTCTGCGCTGCCTCCTCGGCAGCTCGGCTCCTGGCCCCAGTGACCCCTCACGTCTCAGCGTTTGACAGCGCCTGTCTGTGCGTGACACATCTGTCTGTAGATTATTTTGCACGTGGGGCAGAGAACAACACCGTATGCCACCGAGATGGAGCTTGGGCCTGGAGGACAGGGGCGGGACGGCCCCGGGTTGGGGTCCTGGCCCCATCACTGAAGTCTCTTACTGTGCAACTCGGAGTGGGCTGGACTATCGCTGGGCCCCAGTTTCCTCCCCTGTAAAATGGAGTTGATGACGCTTCCCCGGGTTACAGGATTAGCATGCAGGGACCAGGGCCGGGCTGAACATCACACCCGACGCTGCCTGCAGGGACGGGGCTGGGATGGGAGAGAGTCAAGATGGCATCCACCAAAGACAGCCTCAGAACGGGGGAGCCCCGCAGATTTGAAGGCTCAGTCACACATTTCCAATGGCAGAGGTTCTGGGGGTGCGTGAGACCCCCCTGACTCATGTGTTCCTGGGGTAGGTGGGTCTGGGAATCTGCATTTTTTTTCTTGAGTTGGAGTCTCACTCGGTCACCCAGACTGGAGTGCAGTGGCCACTCCCGGCCACCGCAGCCTCGACCTGCTGGGCTCCGACGATCCTTCCGCCTCAGCCTTCCAAGTAGCCGGAATTACAGGCTCGCGCTACCACGCCCAGCTGATTTTTTGATTTATTGTAGAGATGAAGTCTCACTGCCCAGGCGGGTCTTGAACCCGTGGGCTCAGGCAATCCACCAAACCCGGCTTGCATTTTTTTTTTAAATCTAGGTCGCACTCTGTCACCCAGGCTGGAGTGCAGTGGCACGATCGTGGTTCACTGTAGCCTCAACCGCCAGGGCTCAGATGACCCTTCTGTCTCAGCCTCCCAAATGGCTGGGACTCTGGGCATGTGCCACCATACCCGACTAACTTCTTGATTTTTTTGTAGAGATGAGGTCTTGCTATGTTGCCCAGGCTGGTCTTGGACTCCTGGGCTCGAGTGATCCTCCTGGCCTCCTAAAGTGCTGGGATTGCAGGCGTGAGCCACCATGCCCAGCCCCGTCTTGTTTTTCGATGCACGCCCCAGGAAGTGATGGACCAATCAACTAACTCGAGTTCAGTGTTAAAAACAGGAATTGTAATGACATCATTCGAGGCAGGGAGAAGCACTCAGGCAGGTGGAACCCATTGGGGAGAGAAGCTTCTCTTTCTCTGCCGCTTTGAGCCTGGAAACTTGCAGGACCATGTATGGGCAACTTCGGGATGGGGTCTCCCCTACCACAGGGCAGGCCCCATGGCTGCAGGCCTCGGCATTCAAGTGCTGGCTGCAGGCGGGGCGGGGGCTGTGATGGGCAGTGACCGGCCTCTCTCCCTCGTTCCCCCAGCTGGAGCCCGACGGACTGCTGGTGTGGGTCCTGGCCGGCGCCCTGGGGCTCAGCCTGGCTTTCTCCCTGGTGGCCGTCCCGCTGCAGTGCTTCCAGCTCGGCAGAGCCTACGGCTTCTGCCTGCTCCTCTTCTACCTGAGTTTCCTCGTCGTGGCCCTCCTCACTGAGTTTGGAGTGATCCACCTGCGAAGCGCATGACGGACGCCGCCGGAGGGTGTGGTCACCGCAGGCAGGGCACCCGCCCCTCCTGTGGGGAGGACCGGGTTGGAGACCTTCCATGGGGCCCTGCGCGGCTCCTGCTGCTGGAGTCTGAGGTCGCCACTATGAGCAGAAGCCCCGTCCTCGCTGCCAGAACCCAACGGCCTCCTTGCTGGGACTCTGGAAACAAGGCTTTGAAGTGGACAGAGGGTTCCGGATGGAGGATAAGAGGCCTCCTGGAAGCTGGGGCTGGGGAGGGGGTGGCTGAGTGTTGCAGGCCCCTGAGGCGGTCAGCGCTGGAGGCACCTGCAGAGACACAGGCATTCCCATCCCCCCATGTGGGGCTTCAGGCTTTCTGGCAGCTTCCAGCACCTTCTCTTCAGGGCACAAATGGCTGCCCAACCCTGACTGGGAGAATCAGGGCGACTCAGCTCTGGTCTCAGGCCCTGAGGACTGACCTCAAGGGCTGCACTGTGACAGAAACAGAATTCAAGACATACTTAATGTTGAATTTCTTTGCTTTTTTTTTTTTTGAGTTGGAGTCTCACTCCATTGCCCAGACTGGAGTGCAGTGGCTGC